GAAAGCTGCTATCTGACATGCAAAATGATAAGGTACTTCACTTCCGAGGTCCACCTTTTTATAGACTTGCTCCAAACCACAACGAGGTCGAGACCAGCAGGAAAAAAACGGGTACAAAAATGAGAGGAAGGTGAAACTGACCTACAGCATTTACGAGTGCCTTAACAGCGAGATGGTCAGCATCCTTCCACATTGACTCAATTTAAAGAGCGTGTTCCTTCAAGAATCCGGCAGTATTCAATCTGAAAATCGAGTAAAACAACATTGGTCAGTCTACCTGAAGGATTCCAAAACTGTGTTGCAAAAGCACAAAAATATTTCACTAAAATAAAGAGCTATTGTCAAATTTTCACCAATTTCAAACTAATTCATGGACAAAAATGGAATAAAAAGAGCAAGCAGAACAGGCACATTCTGTTAAGCTTTCATTCAAACTATGTACCAAACTGTTACGGACAATTGTGTGGGCGTAATGGTACCATTTTCCACAACTCCCACATTTACTCCAATATTTATAGCTCGGAAAACAGAAAAAAAAATGAGAAGCGGTTGATTACGACTCTTTTTCCAGCACTTAACATTGCGAAAAAGCGAAATCATAGAAAAGAAGAGACCATACCTCAGGGATATGATGAGGTAGTTAGCTTCAAAAATGAACGAAATTCATCATCGAAGCCACAGTCCGCAATTGCAAATCGTAATTACATAAACAAAAGTGAAAAAGCAAGGACAATTTGCAATTTCGCTAAGAAAGATTCAGAAAAAAATGAACGAACTCCATCATCCCAAAAACATCGATTTCAACACTTAAATCACGGCCGAAGACGACCCAAAAACATCAGTTTCAACACTCAAATCACGGTATTGATCGTTTGGAGTACGGTAGTGCCCACTGATGTGGTGCACTACACGCGCCACATTTCACTACGAGAAATCGATGTGTTTTGTACTCTCCAGCTCTCCCATAGTCTCTACTCCCTGCCGCTGCAAGCGCTAGCAAAACGCTGGTGCCGCTGAAACGCTGGAGAAACGCTCGAGAAACGCTGGTGAAGCTAGATCGATAGCTATGCTTCCCGTGCCCTCGCTACGCCAGCGTGCCGCTGGTGACGCTGGTGAAGCTAGATCGATATGCATCCTCTCTTCGGCACTGCCGCTGGCGTACGCTGGAAGCGCTACGCTACGCTGCGCTACGCTACGCTGCCGCAAAGTATAAACGCAGCCTTACGATGACAAAACACATTGATTAGCGTTTAGAAGTTACGTCGCGATAAATAAAGACTAGAGACAGTTAGTAATCTAACACATTTCTAGAGATTCATTTATCTCTGACAAATGGCCTTATGACTAATCAGAAAGCAAATAAATTATCTAGAAGGACTTAATGAAAACAAGGAAGTACCGTTTGTATCATGAAAGATGCTATCACATCCGGATCCGACGAGGGTAATGAAAAATAGGAAACGATCAACGCAGCGGCTTTAATTTGAAGGACTGTCACAACGTAGATTCACATTTCTACTGCGATAAACTAAGTCATAGTGATCTGGTCGAAGTAACGAAGTTGTTAATACGAGGGTTTTTGTAATGATGCAGACGGGAAGTTCGTAATAAAAGGCGGCATTTGGTGCAGCATTTTGGTCCATGTATTGCAGTCGAATGCTCTGACCTATAATAAACATTACACGAGTCGTCACTACACAAAAATTGTCTAGTAAAATATAAAGAGTAATTAATACAAACGGTACTTCCTTGTTTTCATTAAGTCCTTCTAGATAATTTATTTTGCTTTCTGATTGTCATAAGCATTGTCAGAGATAAATGATCTAAGAAAGTGTTGTATAATATCTTCTAGTCTTTTAATTATCGCGACATAATTCTACAGTACAGAATGATGTTTTGTCATATGACGACTGTAGCGTCATAAGGGTTTGTGAGTATGGTGTGGACAATAAAATAAAATCATGTGTCTCCTACGGCAGCTATGGTCATACATCTCTCCCTTCATGTTTCCTTCACCTTAGTCATACATTTCGCGATGATCGGATGGGCGGGAGCACATGACATGACATCGTCACTTCCTCATTGGCGCACCCATCGCAGTGCACAGCAAAGGGAAGCGGAAGGCACAATGGTTGCGAGTCCCCTACATCTGATAGTCTAGAATTGTCAGAGTTCGTGCTGAGCTGGGCAGAGCTTCCTGTTGCAACTGTTGCCACCCTGGGTGCATCTAATCGTCTTGAACAGGTAGAGGGAATGGGAAATGGCAATTTGGGCGTGACGCTTGGATCGCTAGAAGATGACACGGCAGGTAGAGGAATTTCTGAATCTCGTGGTAATTCATACTGGGAGTGCTGCACTACGAGAACTGACCATCTGAGTCAACAATTTGGCAACTTTCCAGACAGCGCAAATATTGTTGAAATTAATGATTCTGAAAGGGAACTTAGTGATCGACTCTGATGTCAACTAAACCCCGACGAGATGGATGAGAGTGCCCAACGAGACGGACAAGAGCACCTTCTCCACGGTTTAAGGGTCAAATCTAAAGTGAGACGGCCACGGGGCACATCATTGGTTGGGGATTTCAGTCGACATACGACCCTCCCGCCACTTTTTTTGGGGATTGGTTCGACCCCCCCCCCAGCCCTTCCTCATCGTTAGCAGTCGAGCGGAGGGGCCCTCCTGGCGACTAAATACGACCCCCCCCTATTGGGGATTCCCCAACAACGATGTGCCCTGGACGGCCAAGACAATCGTAGTTTGCCGCGCCGTCGCGTACGGCACATCGCGTTTTTGTGGATGCGGCAAATCAGGAAAGGTGTTCCACAACAGCGAAAAAGCTGGTTCTCATAATCTCGAGAGATTTGACATCAGGACATTGTTTACGCTGTTGTAGTGGAATCCCAAATCACTGCGTCACGCCCAAATTGCCATTTCCCATTCCCTCTACCTGTTCAAGACGATTAGATGCACCCAGGGTGGCAACAGTTGCAACAGGAAGCTCTGCCCAGCTCAGCACGAACTCTGGCAATTCTAGACTATCAGATGTAGGGGACTCGCAACCATTGTGCCTTCCGCTTCCCTTTGCTGTGCACTGCGATGGGTGCGCCAATGAGGAAGTGACGATGTCATGTCATGTGCTCCCGCCCATCCGATCATCGCGAAATGTATGACTAAGGTGAAGGAAACATGAAGGGAGAGATGTATGACCATAGCTGCCGTAGGAGACACATGATTTTATTTTATTGTCCACACCATACTCACAAACCCTTATGACGCTACAGTCGCCATATGACAAAACATCATTGTGTAGCGTAGAATTACGTCGCGATAATTAAAAGACTAGAGAGATATTATACAACACTTTCTAGAATCATTTATCTCTGACAATCTATGACAATCAGAAAGCCAAATAATTATCTAGAAGAGACTTAATGAAAAAAGAGACCGTTTGCTTATCATGAAAGATGCTATCACATCCGGATCCGACAAGGGTAATGAAAAATAAAAGAACGAAAATGAAAAAAAAACCAAATACTATTAGGATAATCATGACGAATTCAAACGCAAGGCTTTCAAAGTTGAAGGACTGTCACACTTATTCACAATCTCTACCTGCGATAAACTAAGTCATAGTGCCTGGTCGATAAAGAAGTGTTATAAGAGGTGTTTCTGTTATCAGGCGGGAAGTCGTAATAAAGGCCGCCATTTGGTGCAGCATTTTGGTCCATGTACTGCAGTCGAATGCTCTGTCCTATAATAAACATTACACGACGAGTCGTCACTACACAAAACTTGTCTAGTAAATATAAAAGAGTAATGAAAGCTGCTATCTGACATGCAAAATGATAAGGTACTTCACTTCCGAGGTCCACCTTTTTATAGACTTGCTCCAAACCACAACGAGGTCGAGACCAGCAGGAAAAAAACGGGTACAAAAATGAGAGGAAGGTGAAACTGACCTACAGCATTTACGAGTGCCTTAACAGCGAGATGGTCAGCATCCTTCCACATTGACTCAATTTAAAGAGCGTGTTCCTTCAAGAATCCGGCAGTATTCAATCTGAAAATCGAGTAAAACAACATCGGTCAGTCTACCTGAAGGACTCCAAAACTGTGTTGCAAAAGCACAAAAATATTTTACTAAAATAAAGAGCTATTGTCAAATTTTCACCAATTTCAAACTAATTCATGGACAAAAATGGAATAAAAAGAGCAAGCAGAACAGGCACATTCTGTTAAGCTTTCATTCAAACTATGTACCAAACTGTTACGGACAATTGTGTGGGCGTAATGGTACCATTTTCCACAACTCCCACATTTACTCCAATATTTATAGCTCGGAAAACAGAAAAAAAAATGAGAAGCGGTTGATTACGACTCTTTTTCCAGCACTTAACATTGCGAAAAAGCGAAATCATAGAAAAGAAGAGACCATACCTCAGGGATATAATGAGGTAGTTAGCTTCAAAAATGAACGAAATCCATCATCAAAGCCACAGTGCGCAATTGCAAATCGTAATTACATAAACAAAAGTGAAAAATCAAGGACAATTTGCGATTTCGCTAAGAAAGATTCAGAAAAAAATGAACGAACTCCATCATCCCAAAAACATCGATTTCAACACTTAAATCACGGCCGAAGACGACCCAAAAACACCAGTTTCAACACTCAAATCACGGTATTGGTCGGTTGGGAGATACGGTATTGCACTGATGAGTGGTGCACATACACCGCCACTTTTCACTAGAGAGAAATCGATGTGTTTTGTATCTCCAGTCTCCCTAGTCTCTAGCTCCTGCCGCTGCAAGCGCTAGCAAAACGCTGGTGCAGCTGGAGAAACGCTGGAGAAACGCTCGAGAAACGCTGGTGAAGCTAGATCGATACCTATGCTTCCCGTGCCCTCGCCACGCCAGCGTGCGCTAGCGTGCCGCTGGTGACGCTGGTGAAGCTAGATCGATATGCATCCTCTCTTCGGCACTGCCGCTGGCGTACGCTGGAAGCGCTACGCTACGCTGCGCTACGCTACGCTGCTGCCGCAAAGTATAAACGCAGCCTTACAAGGCAGGTGACTGACACGTAGATTTACTTCCTCATCAGGTTTCGCATTTATTGTAGAATATGAAAGAGCCTGTGAGATGGCCCGGCTTACGCCGAGCTCTCCTCCTTCTCGTGGTGGTTGGAGCCATAACCCCTTTTTATATTAATCTGTAGATGCCAGTTACGAAGTAACAGTCGTTTCAAGTACATGCGCAAAATGAGTTGCTCAGTAAAAACACGAGACTCGCTTCGATTGCCTGTATCGAAGGCCTACCGAACAGCGCTCACCTTTACTGATACCATGCAATCCATTCAATCAGGTGGCAAAAGACTGCGGATGCTAAATGTAATTTCGCTACGTACGTTAGTTGTACATTTTTCTTGTCCCGTATTACTTGTTTTCATGATTACTCGAACGGTTGACAGTAGAAGGTGGTCACACTTTCAAAAAATACCTCCAGTTGATATCACGACATGAATTCGTAGCAACTCGCTCTAGGTCGCGTGGGTTTCCCTATCGGTTTTTTTCGAATTAGCGATGTGATTTGCTTTAAGGCACTCTACGCTCCAGTCTACAACACACCACTCTCTCCCCCTGCGACATCATTCCTTTCCTACCCTGATCGCTCGCACGCGCTCATGTCCAGTTGCCGCGAGCGTGAGCAATGCACAGAACACCAAATGCTTGCTTTATACAGTGCAATGTGTAGCCACACTCGCAATGTCACCCTAATTTGATAGCACAACATGGTTAAATTCGCAATTCTGCTAGCAGCTAGACCATCCTTTCTTCAGGTTATCGCTTTCACTAATGCTTTTGTGCCCACAGTAGTGGTGTGCTCTTGCTAGAGCGTACTCTACGGTCGCCCTCACCCCTCTCCCCATCGACCCCCCTCATTAACTCCACCGCTATCCGTCCACCCTTCTTGCCCCCCCCCCTCGCCCTTACTCTTCCCTTTCTAGTCCACTCGCACGTTTCACGTCGCCTGCACCAAGCGGCTTTGTGGCAAGGTGCTAATATTTGGAATATAACCTTAAACTGATAGCACATTATGGACTGCCCTGCAACTGTTTTGGTAGGCGCTTGATCGTTCTGGTTCTGCTGATATTGTCGTCTTTCACTGATGCGTCTGATTCTACGTTATGGTGGGCTCCTGTTTGAAGCCTATTCTTCTTGCCTCATGCGGCCCTTAACCCTTACATTCCTACCGCTGTTCCACGCACCAGCGGGTCCGAGCTGGTCACGCGAAGAGCCCGTGGCAAAGGCTCGAGATCGAAACAAGGAACGCTTTACGATTGAAGCACATTCATGGATTTGCCCACTGCACTCTGCTAGCGTGGTATCCTTATTTTTTCTTTCTATTAATCGCTTTCACTGGTGCTCCTCTTTCCATCTTTTTTGGTGTGCTCCCGTTGAAGCGCACTCTATGTCTTCCCTCCGCACCAACCGATCTTTATTGAGAGCTTTCTCCGCAGCATAACGGATATCAACAAGCATTGGAAGATGGTCAGTGGATAGAATGATCCGCGCCTCAATTGAACTGTAAAGGTGCAGAGTAGGATGCAAGCCTCAACTCGCGGCCACAGGTATTAGGAAGAGAGAAGTGTTAGACAGGGGATAAAGACGGTGCGTATTCAGACCGTCTTAGGGCTACCGTCCAAAACACGACTAATAGACTGTCGTATTCAGAATGCGCCGCACAACCGGATCATGTTCGGATTCGGATCCTTCATTAATACGTCAATTTGCATTTTTCTCAGTAATGCTCCCTGCACATCCTAGAAGCGCCATTGGGCTAGCGGACCTGATAGCGCCATGGGCTAGCAGACCTGATTTCACCAAACAATGTTATTTCTGAAAGGAAAGAAGCTATTCTCAACACTTCTGGAAATACTTCTGATAGTTGGTTTTGGCAGCATTATTCGTTGCGTTGTGTTGTGTCGTCAAACTGATTCCAAATGGCATGGAAGCCTAAAGCGGAGAAAGTCGTTTTTGTGATCAGGACGGCCAGTGACCAAAAAGGACTGAGATTCAGCGCGAAAGCATCAGGAGATGCTTGATAGCGAGCAGTTCGCCAGCGACCTTAAAGGCAGTGTCCACGTTTAGTTGGGTTTTCCCCTCCCTTCGTAAGGAGGTAGCGAGGTTCGCAGGGGCAGCGATTGCACCTTTTTTGCGGCGCAAAAACAAGTGAGGGGTCCCACGATGCCATCGTTCTTATCATTGGCGACCCCCCATCATTGCGACCGCAACACTGCCCCAGCATTCATTTCGGTAATGGTATGCTCTGATGTGCGGTGTTCGCCACTAAACTCTCTCGCACTTCCGTAATGATGAGAAAGGTGACAAGGGAAGCAGCTGATGGGCAGCGTTCAGACTTTGCGATCTTCGCCTAGCGGCGCGATCGATCGAGCCGCGAGTGGTACGCCTGTCGGTCTCTGTGGGCGCGACTCGGGTCCGATTCGCGCTCGTCAATGCAAAAATCACTAGATGAATGCTAATTTACGTGTTTCTCCGGTTACTTTTTTGCTTCTTTCTCCAAAAAACAAAGAGGGAAGTATTAGTAGTTGTCCGGGAACTTCTGCAGGTTTTTAAGTGTTTATACTTTAATACGATCACTAAACTTCTTACAGTCATCGGATTTAATGCCAATAAGCAATCATTCGTCGCACAGTACAGTCCCAGCCGAACGTTTGCCATATGTGACAGCAGTTGATAAATCCATGCAAAAGAAAAACGGTGGTTGTCAGAATCCACGAAAATTATACGTAATCGAGCCTTTTTGCCTGGTCCTAATTGATGAAGTATTTTTCAGCAAGGAAGTTCTGAAAATGTTTGAAAAGGTGATAGTCGGTTGGTGAAAGGTCTGGAGAATATGGTGGGTGTGGTAGAACTTCAACCCCCAATTCGTTCAATTTATGGATAGTGATTTGTGAAACATGTGGGCGGGCGTTGTCATGCAAAGAATCGGACCCTTTCTTTTGATAAGTGTTGGCTGCAGCTGACAAAATTTTCGTACACGTCGATTCCTTCACAGTAGGGTTCTGCTGTGATGGTTTAGCCTGGTGATAAAAAGTTATAGTGGATCACACCAGCCGGACCAAGCCGTGACCAGAATCTTTTTTTTCGTAAGGGTTCGGCTTTAAAAATTACCTCGGTGGTTCGTCGAAATCCAACCACTGTCCGGAACGTCTCCTGTTATCATACATGACCCATTTTTCATCACAGGTGACAATTCGGTCCAAAAACAGGTCGTTTCTGCTGCGCAGAAGGAACCTCGAGACGTGCCGATTCCTGCCGGTCACTCCGATTGTGGGGCACCCAATTGTCGAGTTTTTTCACCTTCCCAATGCGTTCCAGACCATCTGCAACAGTGGATTTGCCAACGCCTAGCTTTTCTGCAATCTCTCGAACTGTTTGGGATGGGTCAGCCTTCAAAATCCCCTTAAAATCCTCGTCAGATATTGCTTTAGGTCGACCGCTATGAGGTTCATCTTCAAGGCTGAAATCTCCAGAACGAAATTTGTTGAGCCATTGCCGCACAGTGCTTTCTCTAGCACTATTGGGCCCCCACACCTGGTTAATTTGTTGAGCTGTTTCGATTGCGGATTGCCCCAATTTATAGTCGAAGAAAAAATCGTCCGAAGTGCTCTTTTCACATGCTTGAAAAAATCTTAAAAAGGGGTTTATCAAGCAATGGTGAAACGGCAGTTATACCATCAGATAGC